CTGTTATGGTTTTTATTTCATTTATGAGAAATTTCGACTATGTTTTGTTGTTTGCTTTTGTTATTTTGAGATTTTCCCAACGATTTATTAATTAGAAATACACTTAAAGATGACAGAAAAATCCTCTTTCTCATGAGTGTCTGAGAACAAACGGTGTCACCTCCTGATTAAAAACTCTCCTCATTTCTTTCAAATCTAATCAGCAGTGATTCATCAGAGCTGAGTCTCGGTCATGTGCCAAAAACCAGCAGTTTGACCAAAACCCCTCTTTTTTTATTTCAATGTTTTCATCCATTTGAATGAAAAAGGGGAAACGAATGAAGATGTTGGCTCGGGTTGCAGTTTTTTCTTGTTGTTTTCTTAAAGTCTTTTGTTATCAGCATTACTTTATCGGTCAACACCGGCCTTTGTTTCTTGCAAATGCCTCCCCTCCCTCCCCCCTTCACCCCCCAGTCAGCCCCACCTGTGGGGATATATGCTAATTGAGGAGCCCTGTTGGGGTCCAAAGAGTGTGCGCATTTTAACAATGTTTTTTTTTTTTTTTTTGGGTGGATTTAGAAGAGGAGGAGGAGGAGGGGAGTGTGTTTGGGGGGTAAAATCAGGCGGGGTTTTAGCAGTAGTGTGTGTTTGTGTGTGTGAGTGTGCTGAACGCCTGTGAGCCAGACAGAGCATCCTCAGTCCAGCTGGGGGTCTCCGCTCGGCTTTAAGAACCTGCGCGTTTTGGAGAAGGACGCACTTCTTTCARCTCGCCGCTGTGCGTAAAAATCGGGAGGAGCGCACGAAAAGCAAAACTCAACATTTTGTTTCTGTTGCCTCAGGTTCACCCTCATTTAAAAACTGAGACCATATCGGGATTACCTACAATCACGAGCCGTTTCCCCCCACCCTGCCTCACTTCTGGTTCGGACCCGCCGCCAGCATGATGTCCTACCTGAAGCAGGCTCCGTACGCGGTGAACGGACTGAGCTTATCCACCTCAGGAGTGGACCTGCTGCACCCTTCAGTGGGCTACCAAGGTAAACACGGTTATATGTATGGGTCTGGGTCAAGTCAAGGTTTTCCAAAACATCCTTCTGTTTGTTTTATGTGTAAGCAGCCCCTCGCAAACAGCGGAGGGAGAGGACCACCTTCACCCGGGCCCAGCTGGACGTGCTGGAGAACCTGTTTTCCAAGACACGGTACCCTGACATCTTCATGAGGGAAGAGGTGGCCTTAAAGATCAACCTGCCTGAATCCAGGGTACAGGTAAGTTCAGACAATTATCCAAATGAGGTCGGTGAGAGTGAGGTCCTTCTCATAATGTTAGTCAATTTAGGGTAAAAAAAAAAAAACTAAGTAATAAGGAAATTTTTCCATCCTTGTGGTCTCAACCCTTTAATCMGATTTAGGGGTGTAAAGTCAACCCAATAAAAACAAAAGCCTACAGAAGTTAAAGAAGTGAGAAGGTCCATTTGTGTCTGTTGAGTTTTTTAAGCAAGGTCTAAGAAGTGGACTTTAACCTTTTATTTTAGGTGAGAAGGTTTATCGTCATTATTTTTGATCCTTCTAATCTGAATCCAAAGCAAATTCCTGCTAAATATCTGAATCACAAAGTCTTTAAATTAAGGTCTAATATGGCCATTCCTTCTCACTTTTTATTTGTGRTGAGAAGGCCCACTTTCAAATGTCCGACCCCCTTTATTGATTTTTCTGAAGTTGATCTGAAATAGACTAAATTTTCTAATTTATTGAGGAAAGAAAATTATAATTTT